GTGGTCACTTTGGAATTTTCGTATTTTTCTGTATGGCCTCTGCCTTGGCTTTCTCCCACTGTGCTAACTTTCGCTCCTTTCGCAATTGCCTCCCTCTTTGCTCCTCTCCTCTCCACTTATTGTAATCCTCTCGTTTCTTCTTCATCTCCTCTCGTTCAACCCGTTTCCTTTCCTTCTCCAGAGCCTCCCGTCGCACATTGGCCTCATCATCCAGCGCGGCCTGGTAGAACACATCACCGGTATATTCCCTGCCTTCCTCGGTATAGTACAACTTTTCCTTATTCGATTTCTTCCTCTGCTGTTGGTTTTTGTGATAGAGCTGACTCTTCATCTGGCCATAGTGGACATCTTGAACGACGGTCACGGCAAGGAGGACGTCATGTTTGCTTTGCAGCTCCTTGATATACCCCCTCATTATGTCCCACTCATCTACCGATGGAGGGAGCACAGAGGAGAGGATGTTATTGAAGTTTCTGGGGTGGTATGGCTCGGTCGTGACTTCAGCACCCTGCTGAGCAAAATGGGCCGCCGGTGAGGAATTTAGTTGCATATTGTATTCGCCATTGCTGACATCATGTAATGCATGTCTAACAGGGGTAGTTAGTGATGGCATAGGCAGAGCCATTGCTGGGAGGGGTGTGATGAGGTTTGGTGGTGGGGGCATAGCAATGGTGGCTGTAGCCTGCTCTCGCTGATTACGAAATTCCTGAGCGATCTTTCGAACTGGAGTTGGTTGGGAGAATGGGAATGTGTGCTGAATTGAGGTGACTTGTGAGGGAGCAAGCATCTGGGGTGTGATGATATCCGGGTTGAATGGGCGAAGGCCGGTCTTCTTAAATGCCATCTGTATGTTCTCCTTTGTAAAACTCTTTTTCATGGCCGTATCTAGGACCAAAATAAAGGATGATTTGGTCAGTGCGAGCCCTGTTCGCATTGAATAGGCATGCACGGCAGCTGTCCATGCTTTCTTGAATGGAGCAAATAGCACAACATCAAGCCCTTGTAAGATATGAGTGCAATGGGGTGGATAGCTCATAAGGATGATATTGTGGTCCCGGCAATACTCAATGACCTCAAGTGACATGTGGGATCCATGGTTATCCATAGTAAGCATTCGATAACCACCACCCTGAGCTAAATCCTCTGTCGATTTGTCAAATATTTGGATAAATTGCAATCCCAGATCACGCGTCATCCATCCATTGTCAGATATTGTCACCCTGGTGCTTGTAAGTCCATGATTCACTGTATAAATCTCAATGCTTACTCGGCTTCAGGTGGAATGTCATTTATCCATTCGATTCTCTTGTTCTTTGCAGCAAAAATGACCATATACTTTGGAACTGTCCCGTCAGCACAGATAATTGGGAGGAAGGTTGTATTGGCACGGTCTGCTGGGCGATTTCGGCGTACAACTTTTGCACCTTTTCGAGTTATTAATCTTTGTCGAGTTTGTAGAGCTTGTTGCACCCCAGATTCATCAGCTGCAAAGTCCCTTTCGGCTGAAATACCATACTGCTCCATCAACCTCCTCCGTACCTCAAAGAACCCCTTAACTACCTCTGGATTGGCTGATCGAGATCGAATATCATCCATTGGGCGACTCCAGTGTGAGGATATCTCATTTGCGTGCCGATCCTTGAAGTTATTGACCCAGCATTTCCCCACACCTTTGAAGCCTGGGCGCTTGGCACGAATTAGACGGTTTGCTAGGCTCTTCAACCCATCATTATCAAGACTAAGGTTCCTATCTGCCATGTCGAGTATATATTGGACTAGCCATTTCTCTTGGTCCTGTGAGAGAAGGGTCCTCCCCCGGGATACTTCGCCTATTGTGCGATGTCCAGGTCTCATGGCATCTCGAAGTGTTGTCCATGGCACATCCATCTCTTCTGCAACCTTTCGAATGCTTGTTGACCCCTCAGCAAGCTTATTACGACGCTTTAAGAGAAGTAATTTCGCTTGCTTGACCTTTTCCTCCATCTCCTCACGCTGAGCTCTTGTCAAACGAGCCTTTGATTTTGCTTGTCGGGCCATATTATCAGATGAAGATGAAAATCTTTGATTTGGGCGGTGTAGGATGCCTTGAGCAGGGGATAAACAGGTTGGAGCGGAGTTTATGTGAAAAATTTTAACATTCTACCATCTATATGCACTAAAGAAGATCGTAAGATTTCATAGAATATCAAAATAGGGAGCCGTTTGTGCCTGGATAGGCTAAAATGACGTGCACCCGAAGGGCACGCCTCAGCCTGCACTTGGGAAGGCCGTCAATCTCGTGCTTAACCTCTCTTATACACTTTTCATACCCTTATATAAATAAAATTTATCCCCTCTTTGCCAAGTACACCATACACCAAAATGGGCATAACTTACATCACTCTAGTTGCATTCATTTGAAGTGGCCAGTCACATGTAGGCCGGCCCACCAGAAGATATGCATGTTAAAATATGTATTAAATGGTTTAAAAAAATTACATATACAATGCGGGATGCAGAGTGAGACAGGGGTGGTGTGAAATGCGGATGAGCGGACAAGGTATTGGGGGCGAAGTAGGTAGGAATTACTGTAAGGGAAAGAGATTCGAAAGATTAGGCGAACTTGTGCCGCTCGGTAGCCTACAGAGAGTGAATACCTCTACACATACAAGATAAAGATGCAAACCTGTAAGACCAGCACTTTGCACTTCCTCACTCTCTATGACAAGTACACAACTACCACGGCCTTCAGGAAGCTCCTTTCCAGGCGGCAATGCTTGTACTGTGCGGACTGCCGCTTCAACCTCCTCATCCTGCACCGAAGGCAGGTGAATACGACAATTCTGCCACACATCTACAATTGTGTCTGTAAATAGCATATGTTGCGGTCGAGTTTCCTTGAAGGAAGACACAAATGTATTGATGTCTTCAAGAAGATTGAGCAGATTATACTCGCAAGCAATTCGAACAAGAGATTGCTTGGCCTTGTGTGGATGACGGTTATGGTAGATAGTAGCTTCTCCTTGACGACTTCTCATTTGGGCCACTTCGAGGACATTCTCATCAAGAAATGACCGTGCAAGCTCCTGGTATGCTGGATCACGATCTTTGATGG